TCCTCTGGACCTTCTCGATGCTGTCCACATCCCTCCTGAAGTGCGGCACCCAGAACTGGACACAGTACTCCAACTGCGGCCTGACCAGTGTCGCATAGAGGGGGAGGATCACCTCCTTGGACCTGCTCGTGATGCATCTGTGGATGCAGACAAGGTACGGTTGGCCTTCCTGACTGTGTCCCCACACTGTTGGCCCATGTTCATCTTGGTATCAGTAGTGATTCCAAGATCCTTTTCTGCCTCTGTGCTGATGAGAAGGGAGTTCCCCAGCCTGTAGGTATGCTGCTGGTTCTTTCTCTCGAGGTGCAATACCTTGCACTTGTCCATATTGAAACCCATCCTATTTTCATCCGCCCACCTCTGTAACCTGTCGAGATCTAGTTGTAGCCTATCTCTCTCTTCTAGCATGCCCACTTCTCCCCACATCTTAGTGTCATCTGCAAACTTGAACAAGGTGTTTTTCACCCCCTTGTTCAAATCTCTGATGAAAATATTGAACGGTGTGAGCCCAAGGACCAAGCCCTGGGGAAACCCACTGCCCACATCTCTCCAGGTCAAAAATGACCCATCCACCACCACTCTCTGGGTGCGGCCCTCCAGCCAATTTGCAACCCATCTGACTGTGTAGGCGTCGACACTACAGATGCCTAATTTTGTAAGTGAGGATGGGGTGAGAGACAGTGTCGAAGGCCTTCCTAAAGTCTAGGAAGACTACATCCACTGTGATACCTGCGTCCAAGGCTTTTGTAACCTGGTCATAGAAGGCCACCAGGTTGGTCTGACAGGACCTACCTCTAATGAACCTGTGTTGATTGCCCCTAAGCATAACCTCCCCTGCTGGCCCCTCGCAGATGTGCTCCTGGATAATTTTCTCAAAGAGCTTCCCCAGGACCAAAGTAAGACTAACAGGCCTATAGTTTCCTGGGTCCTCTTTCCTCCCTTTTTTGAAAATGGGGACTGCATTGGCCCTTTTCCCACCCTCTGGCACCTCGCCAGAGCACCACGAGTGCTTGTAAAGCTGTGCCAGGGGTCCCCCAATGACCTCTGCCAATTCCCTCAGCACTCTGGCATGGAGATAGTCAAGACCTGCTGATTTGAACATGTCTAGTCCCTCCAGAAGTTCCCTGACTAGGTCCTCATTGACCCTGGGCCTGGCTGCACCTCACCTGGATCTGTCTGGAATCCCAGTGGGGGGATGTCCCTGTCCCTGCTCAGAAAAATGGAAGCAAAGAATCTGTTAAAGAGATTACCTTTGTCATCTGGTGCTACAACCAGATTACCAAGCATGTCCTGGCACTTTCTTTTTACCTCCTATGTATTTAAAAAAGGACTTATCTTTGATCTGGGTTGCTAGTCCCAGTTCCATCTCTGCCTTAGCCTTCCTAATAGCCCCCCTACAATCTCGAGCCAAGAAGATACCATCATCCTTGGTGATGGCCC